TACTTGAACTATTTATTTCCTAAGCTATTCAGACATCTTTGCCCGATAGAATCAGTTCCTAGTTGGTTTTCTGAATAATTAAACAGAGCAAAATTACTTGCATAAAAGAGAGCTACACACAGTTGTTATTCATAGAATTGATAAAAAAATGTTTTGAAAGGTATTTTTTACCTTTTCTTTTTGCGCTTATAATTCGTAAAAAATAGAAAAAATGCCAAAATACCAAACATTTATTATTATAATTACTCTGGCGACCACATTAATAGATTATACGTCGTCTTTTTGAATGGCTCAATGAGAAGGCGAATAGTTGTCCTTGACTACAGGAAGCTGAGCTGGTGAAGTATGTGGAACTAGGAGAAATATAGACGAGGAATAACTGGCAAATTTTCACCTTTTTTGAACAGTTGCGAAGGCGGAGTCTGGAATGGATTTATAAAACCCACATTTTTGCCCGATTACCTTGTACCCGCGTACTTACCATTACTGAAAATCTCTATATCGTAAATTAAATAACCTTTTTTTCTTCACGCTCTTCATGAAACAGAGTTTTGTAGTCTAAATTTGATTGCTCATTCTGATTAGTATGCACATTCCTCCACGACTATATTTCTGCTTCTTTTAATCAATTTTTTTAACTCAAAAACTACCTTTGGGGTTAATGATTCATGCCAAATGTAAATTCATGCCAAGTCACGTTCATTGATCAAAGTAAGATTCCCGTCGACAAAGTAACTGTGTTGTACTCTCATTAAAATTATTCTTTTCTATTGGAGAAGATGTTTTCAGCTCTTTGTTGTCGTGTATTGGAAACAAGCTGCATAGTTCTGATGTGAAACAACTGACCCCGCTGCGTATACCATTTTGAATTCATCTTCAAAATTAAGCATTACTGGGTATACTTTGCGGCCAAAAAACACGCTGGCGCTGACGCTGATAAAAGTAAATAACATTTTGATAATTGTTCAATATATGCAACAAATAAAAAGTCTTGACGATGCAGCTGTTCTGTAGAGTAACACGTACGAAGCGCCAAGAGTACTTGCAACCTTTTTGACGAAACTGAATTGTAGAAATTTTTCCTCTCTATAAACTATATAATATATAATAATATATAATATAGGATTTCTATAGCGCTCACTCTAGAGTTCGGAGCGTTTTACAATATGTACAATTAAAATGATTATAAATAATTAACTAAATTAGCCAGGAAATAATACAAGCAAATAAATTAATATTAATAGTCCTAGAAATCGAACGCTCGACTAAAAAGATAGGTCTTAAGCTTTGACTTAAATGTCGCAAGTGATGGTGCCTGTCGTATGGTATCTGGGAGCTTGTTCCACAGGTAGGGTAGCGACATAGTTAAATGACCTGCTTCCATAAGTCTTAAGTTAAACTAAGGCACTTGCAAGAACTGTTTGTTAGAAGAGCGTAGAGTTCTAGCTGGTGTGTACTGCATTAGCATGTCCTATATATATTGAGGCGCCAAGGCATTCAAGGCCTTATATGTAAGTAGTAATATCTTGAAAGATATACGTCGTTTAACAGGTAGCCAATGGAGATCCATTAAGACTGGCGTAATTCTATCATACTTGCGAGTACGGAAGACTACGCGCCCGGCAGCGTTATGAACACGCTGGAGCTTATCTATTAAGCATTGTGGCAGCCCAGCCAATAATGAATTACAGTTATCTAGCTTGGTCGTTATGAATACATGGACCAATGTTTCCATGTCTTTTAGAGAAAGACAGTTCCTGATCCTTGATAGATTACGTATAAGGCAAAAAGCCACCTTACAAATATGATTAACATGCTTTTTAAGGTCCATATGACTATCAAAGATTACCCCTATGTTTCTAGCTTTTACTGACTTTCCTAATTTAACACCAGCGATTGTGATCTCGTCTATTGGTGGGCACGGGCAATGTTTAACATGTATTACTAAAAACTTTTCACGATTGAGTTATAGTTTATTACATACCATCCAAGCGTAGATCTCACTAGCACAATCCTCCAATTTTGCAAAAATTGGCCCAAGCACAGATCGTTGAGGCACTCCCCATTGTAGCTCCGTAGAGGACGATCTGGTATTCTATATTTGGATAAACTGTCGGCGATCGGTGAGATAGGACGCAAACCATTGAAGGGCGTTTCCCTTAATCCCATATCAGTACGCAGTCGGTTTAACAAGTTGATGTGGTCGACCCTATCAAAAGTGGCTGATAAGTCTAACAACAAAAGAAGTACATTTTTTGTTTATCGATTGCATTCAAGATATCTGACTGGACTTTTACGAGAGCTGTTTCCGTACTGTGAGCAATTTTATAGGCAGATTGGAGCACTTCCTGGAGTCAATTAATATTAATGTAGTCGATAAGCTGAGAAGCAGCGGCTTTCTCAGTCACCTTGGACAATAACTTTAGGTTAGAGATGGGCCTAAAGTGAGGGAAACATTCATAGTCCAGAGTCCTTATTTAGCTTTGGTCTTATCATTGCTTCTTTAAAATGGTGTGGTACATTTCCCGTAGTTAGTGACAGGTTTACAATTCTTGTGATGACCGACAGCAGTACATTCAAGCATTTCCTTAATAAAATTGAAGGTAGAGGATCTAAGTCACATGTCTTAAGGCCAAAAGAAATTAATAAGTCACTAACTTCAGCAGTGCTCACAGTACGGAAATCTGGAAATTCCGATTTACAGCAGGGAGAATCAGGCAGTGGATTAATCACAGAATCAGATTCAGTTGACAAGGTAAAGCGTATCTTAGATATTTTCTCATGAAGTTCAAGTTGTTCATTAGATGATGATGTAGGATAACAGGGTTCTGATTCCTGTGTAGTAGCTGATCAGTAGTTTTGAAAAGAACTTTCTGATTTCCTTTGTTTTCCGTAATGATAGAGGAATAGTGATTAAACTTTGCGTTTTTTATCATGTCATTGGTCACACCACACTGCGTGATATATAGCTCCCAGTCAATAAAGAGCCCTGACTTACCCCATCGCCGCTCTAGCTTCCTTCGTTTCTTCTTCTCTACGTGAATAGAGTCTTTATACCAGGGTGCATGGGGTCTAAGAATAATTGTGCGCTTCTTAGTCGGTGCGTGTGTGTCTAAGAGACTGGTCAGCGTACTCTCAAAGTTCGCAACAAGTGGTGTAACTTCCATATCTCGATAATCAGATAGGAACGTCGAAGACATGATATCAGTCTGCAATAATTTAGTGTCTACTGATCTAAGCTTCCTGTAAGTGATATCTTTTCGCTCAAGTGGTGGCTTTTTGAGCTTCACTTGAGAATAAACTGCATAATGATCAAACAATATAGGGCTATATATCTGTTTGTTTTCTTTTTGCAGATCTGAATTTCATTAAAAATGCAACATCTATGGATTCTCACACCTATCGCATTGGGTGTATGTTTAGGTAAGAATGTCTGGCTTTTTTCATCCTTCCGTCCTTTATTCGATCTCCTACAGCGGTTTATGATTTTAAGTTTAGAGGATGACCATGAACATAATCTGTTTTTCTTTTTCAGGCGTGGTATCTGTAACAGCAGGTTCGTTAATTGTTTTATTTGATAATCTAGTTACCGATGAATAAGGTACAGTACTAATATTAATCTAAATTGGGAAAATATGGGAAAAAAACGCACGGCTCTCTCGACTTTGTTAGTGTGAGGGTCGCTAAATGTGCGCTTGCGATAATCTTAAGAAAATAGAATAGTCCCCATTGATGGTATGGGGACTACTACGCTTTTTGATTGATTCTCGTAAAAACTGACCAAAACTATAGTAATTAGAGCGGCCAATCAGAAGAAAGGAATATACCTTTAAGACACAATAAGAGCACAAATACACCAACTGAATTGCCTGAAGCGCGTGAAAACGCGAGCGACCAAGACGTAATTGGTTTCAGTTTTACATCTGATTGGTACAGGGAGTGGTGCGGTTTTATGGGACGATTGTATGGGCGAGGTAAAGCAAAAACAAAGCAATCCCGGACTGTTTGCTCTAAGAACTGTGATTTTGATTATGGGCATCCCAAAGTAAAACAGCCTAAGCGGTGCAAAATTGCTAATCTCAAGCCTTAAAAGCCTCAATATTTACTCGCTGATGAGTTTAAACACTGATTTCTATTCTTAAAATTAGATAACCAGTGCCACCAACAGAATATGGATGTAGCGATTTTTGGTGACATATCAAAGAGTATGAGGAAGCAACAACGAAAAAAGCTGGTGAACTTTATTGAAGAGTTACTTGACTCAACTCTCGTTTCTGCTGATGGAAATCATGTTGCTCTTGGCACGTTTGCAAAAACTGCTGATATTCATAACAAGCTTAACAATAAAGAATACCACGATGCAGGCAAATTGAAGAAGGCTGTAAAAGAAATCTTCATAGTTAGGCCAAAGAAATTTGGAACTCGTACAGATCTTGCTTTGGACCTGGCTTCCAGAGAAGTGTTTACAGAAGCTGGAGGGGACAGACCCAAAGCCAAGAACGTCTTAATTATCGTAACTGATGGAAAACCTTATATTCCAAAGAAAGACAAAAAAACTTTCATTCCTTTTGAAACATCAACGAAGGCGCTGGAGGTAAATAATGAGAATTTTATATCGGAAAGCAAATACCAATTTGTAGATGACATGACCTTTTTACTAAAGTTAATTATATAAATTCCGCGACTTTGTCGATTGTGAATTGATAATTAGTCTTCTTGGTCAAACGAGGTCCTGAAGTTAGTTAGCCTTCTAGTACATTTGATAGAGAGGTGAAGAATTAATTTTTTAAAAAAATATTTTAAGGTTATCTTGTACTCATTTTCACGATAAGACCTTACGTAACATATGTATCAAACTAACTAACTGCCCAACTAACTTTGAGCCTGTCTGTTTTGTGTTAGGCTAAAGATGTTTTCGTTGTCGTTGTTGGGGTTGGCAAAAATGTGGCAAAGCAAGAGAAGAAAATGGCAGAGATTGCTGGTGAAAAAGGCAGAGTTCTTTTGTTCCCGAGCTATATAAAACTAAGCGAAAATTTAGACGAAGTGTTAGAAGTTTACTGTGGTAAGTTCAACTTTTAACTTATCACGGTTAAGCTGAAAATAAGAGAGCATAATAAGTACATACGGTATTATTGGAACGGACTTATAAACATCGGTCTACATTCGGTTTACAAATTCCTTGTTATTAGGCTTTTCAACGATCATTTCGTAATCCTTGTATAACACCTTAGTTTATATGATAAAATGATTCTGTTGACTTTGATACTAAAACCAATTTACTGATTTCATGGTTACAACAAGTTGTGCAGACGAGTGAACATTTTTTCGTTTTGGTGGTTTAGCAATTGACGGCAAGTACACCGAATGGAAGGAGTCTGAGTGCAGTGTGACGTGTGGAGGAGGAGTAATGACATTTACAAGAACCTGTACCAATCCTCCGCCGTCTAACGGTGGAAAGGACTGCAGTGAACTGGGACCGCCTGAAAAGACACTTGCATGCAACGAACAAGAATGCCGTAAGCTGATATAGCAATTTATGTCCTTACGCGATGGGTGTACTTTCTTTAATGTACATCATGATAAGATCCATCTTCGATCATTTGATAATTTGCATAACTTGTGGATTATTATTAAAAGTCCTTGTAAAACACCTTAGTTTATATGATAAAATGATTCTGTTGACTTTGGTTCTAAAACCAATTTACTGATTTCATGGTTACAACAAGTTGTGCAGACGAGCGAACATTTTTTCGTTTTGGTGGTTTAGCAATTGACGGCAAGTACACCGAATGGAAGGAGTCTGAGTGCAGTGTGACGTGTGGAGGAGGAGTAAGGACACTTACAAGAACCTGTACCAATCCTCCGCCGTCTAACGGTGGAAAGGACTGCAGTGAACTGGGACCGCCTGAAAAGACACTTGCATGCAACGAACAAGAATGCCGTAAGCTGATATAGCAATTTATGTCCTTACGCGATGGGTGTACTTTCTTTAATGTACATCATGATAAGATCCATCTTCGACCCTTTCATAACTTGCATAACTTGCGGATTATTATAAAAAGTCCTTGTATAACACCTTAGCTTTTATGATAAAATGATTCTGTTGACTTTGATTCTAAAACCAATTTACTGATTTCATGGTTACAACAAGTTGTGCAGACGAGTGAACATTTTTTCGTTTTGGTGGTTTAGCAATTGACGGCAAGTACACCGAATGGAAGGAGTCTGAGTGCAGTGTGACGTGTGGAGGAGGAGTAAGGACACTTACAAGAACCTGTACCAATCCTCCTCCGTCTAACGGTGGAAAGGACTGTAGTGAACTGGGACCGGCTGAAAAGACACTTGCATGCAACGAACAAGAATGCCGTAAGCTGATATAGCAATTTATGTCCTTACGCGATGGGTGTACTTTCTTTAATGTACATCATGATAAGATCCATCTTCGACCCTTTCATAATTTGCATAACTTGTGGATTGTTATTAAAAGTCCTTGTATAACACCTTAGTTTATATGATAAAATGATTCTGTTGACTTTGATTCTAAAACCAATTTATTGATTTCATGGTTACAACAAGTTGTGCAGACGAGTGAACATTTTTTCGTTTTGGTGGTTTAGCAATTGACGGCAAGTACACCGAATGGAAGGAGTCTGAGTGCAGTGTGACGTGTGGAGGAGGAGTAATGACATTTACAAGAACCTGTACCAATCCTCCGCCATCTAACGGTGGAAAGGACTGCAGTGAACTGGGACCGGCTGGAAAGACACTTGCATGCAACGAACAAGAATGCCGTAAGCTGATATAGCAATTTATGTCCTTACGCGATGCGTGTACTTTCTTCAATATACATCATGATAAGATCCATCTTTGATCATTTCATAATTTGTATAACTTGCGGACTTGTTGGCTCTTAACTAAGAGGGTCCCCTATACTTTTTACGCGAATCATGATTAGGCGATTTTTATTTGTGAACCGTGGTTAGAGATGAAAAGATCTTTTCATGTCTGTTTGCACGCATCTTTTTTAATTGAAACGTTTCAAATTAATTTAAATTTCCGGCTATGATATTGTTATGAAAATTTACGTATTGTTCTAGAACGGCTCTGGTGAGCTTTTGACCCGGGATGGACTTAATACTCATCAATAAAATTCATAAAAAGAACCACTAATGGTTCTTGGACAAATAAGATAAGACATTACATTTTGTCGTGTAAGGCTGTTCGGCAAGAATAGAAAAAGTAAAGTATTAATTCAAAGTGAATATCTTGAATTTCGCGTGAACGTGACAGAGTTGTGGACATTACTTGTGATGCATGAAAAGGCCAAATATTATTACGTGACTGAGTTTCTCAAAGGGGTATAGGGGTGGAGGGTCCCCTGTAGGTTGGACGAAAAGGGTACACAAACTCCTCGGTTTGAGTTGCTGTTCCAGTCTCAATTTCTGACTCCTGATTCATTATTGAATCGCTTTCAAATTTAATATCTTTTACTTTCTGCCCTTGCACAATAATTTTCTAATTTATCGTCTGTTTCGAGCTCTTTATCGTTTGCGAGTTCTCTCTTTGCTCCAAAAACCCTATCTCTGGAGTCCAGTTTGGCCGCTGATCCCAAACTGGACAAGTGTTTTTCTTCAGAAAGACGTTTGTTGTGGCTAAGATGCAGGGATGGTGTCCAGCCGGGACCAGTTCTCTTTCAAATTAAAAAAAACATTTTTTTAATGGTTTAGCAATTGATGGCAAATACACCGAATGGAAGGAGTCAGAGTGCAGTGCGACATGTGGAGGAGGAGAAATAACTAAAACAAGAACTTGTACCAATCCTGCTCCACAACACGGTGGAAAGGACTGCAGTGGACTGGGACCAGCTGAAATGACACTTTCCTGCAACGAGCAAGAATGCCGTAAGCTGATATAGAAATTTATGTCTTTAACCGACGATTATGTTTTCTTTAATGTACATCACTAAATGATGTTTTAATGGTTTAGCGATTGATGGCGGATACACCGAATGGGAGGAGTCTGAGTGCAGTGCGACATGTGGAGGAGGAGTAATAACTAAAACAAGAACTTGCGCCAATCCTGCTCCACAACACGGTGGAAAGGACTGCAGTGAACTGGGACCAGCTGAAATGACACTTTCATGTAACGAACAACCTTGCCGTAAGTATTTGTAGTATGAAGTTATCTGGATGTTCATGCAATAACACTTTCATAATTTGCATAACTTGTGGACTTGTGAGCACTTAATTAAGGGAAAAGAGACCTTTTTTCTGTAACAGCAAGAAAAAGCTTTCCCATAATATAGGATAAGATTATTGTTGTTGTAATTGATTCTAAAAATAAGTTCCTAACAGGTTGTGCATAAGGGTGAAAAGTATTTCTTTTTTATGGTTTAGCAATTGATGGCAAATACACCGAATGGCAGGAGTCAGAATGCACTGTGACATGCGGAGGAGGAATAAAAACATTTACAAGAACCTGTACCAATCCTCCGCCGTCTAATGGTGGAAAGAACTGCAGTGAACTGGGGCCTTCTGAGAAAACGGAATCATGCAACATACAGGAATGCCGTGAGTATTTGTAGGAGTGATTGACTCTACATTTACTTTTCTTTTAATTGAGTATCACCGAGTGTTGTTCTAATCCTGGCTGTAATCCACTCTATAGCGATCTTTATCCACGCTTTATGTTGCTTTACACAGTTTTCGTGATTCATGAGTTAATTAGAGACTTATAATCATTTTTTATTTGTTTTTTCGTGATTGTATCCTTTACACTTATCTTATGCTCGTGATATCAAACGTGTACCGATAACACTTAAGCAACCGTTTTAAGAGAGAAGTGTGGTCCTGAAATCAGTTAAATCTATCCTAAGCTCTATGATGTTTACATAGAATTTTGGCACTGTCGCGTTGTGAGGATAACTAAGAGCAACCTCCCCTTGAAAACATTGTCTACAAATGTGCTTAAAACTTGACTACAGGCGCTGTCATCTTCAATCTCACCCTGCAAAGTGGCCACTTTTCTGTTACACATTTATGAGAAACGAAAATATTCATTGAACTTCCAAGACTTTATTCTTCAATGATATCGAGAGTTAACATTTTTTTCGAGTTTCTTTTTCCGAACGACAATTAAAAGAAGAGGTTTGCGAAGAGCAAGATTCCGGTCTCAAGTCACGTGATTTAATGAAAGAAAGGTACAAATCGCGTGCAAAATCCTATTTTCAACAGGAGTTCGGAGTATAAATGATCACTCCCCCTCCTCTCTCTCACCGATCCCATAGCAATCCGAGAAAAATTGATGATGAGCTACACAAAAGGGATTCTTGAAGTAAGAAAATATTACATGGTTCTGCAGCGTCATTATATTTTGGAAGTATGTTTACCAAGCAGGATTTCAAGTCTTTAAGATGCAATAATTGCAATCTAGTATTTTTCTGTTACATCATGCGCTGTTTAAATAATTTTCATTGTTTAGCAATTGATGGCAAATACACTGAATGGAAGGAGTCTGAGTGCAGTGCGACATGTGGAGGAGGAGTAATAACTAAAACAAGAACTTGCACCAATCCTGCTCCACAACACGGTGGAAAGGACTGCAGTGAACTGGGACCAGCTGAAATAACACTTTCATGCAACGAAGAATCATGCGGTGAGCACAAACAATCATTTTTCAACCACATCCTAAAGCTCTTGAGAAGGCTAAGAGAAAGCGATAGCAAAGTACAACGAATAAAAGTGCTGAGATAAGATTTGCTGCCCTGGTTCAAGGCAATGCTTGGTAACTGAAAATTCATTTTCAAAACTTTTGAAGAGTTTTTGTCACGATTTAGCAATTGATGGCAACTACATTGAGTGGTTGTCGATTATTTCATAATTTGCATAACTTGTGGACTTGTGAGCACTTAATTAAGGGAAAAGAGACCTTTTTTCTGTAACAGCAAGAAAAAGCTTTCCCAAAATAAAGGATAAGATTATTGTTGTTGTAATTGATTCTAAAACCAAGTTCATAGAAGGTTGTGCATAAGGGTGAAAAGTATTTCTTTTTTATGGTTTAGCAATTGATGGCAAATACACCGAATGGCAGGAGTCAGAATGCACTGTGACATGCGGAGGAGGAATAAAAACATTTACAAGAACCTGTACCAATCCTCCGCCGTCTAATGGTGGAAAGAACTGCAGTGAACTGGGGCCTTCTGAGAAAACGGAATCATGCAGCACACAGGAATGCCGTGAGTATTTGTCAGAACAATTGTCGGAGTAATTGTCTCTACATTTACTTTTCTTTTAATTGAGTATCACCGAGTGTTGTGCTAATCCTGGCTGTAATCCACTCTATAGCGATCTTTAACCTCACTTTATGTTGCTTTAGACAGATTTCATGATTTATTTCTTAATTAGGGACTTAAATAATTTTTTTTGGTTTTTCATGATTGTATCCTTTACACTTATCTTATCTTATGCTCGTGATATCAAACGTGTACCGATATCACTTAGGCAAAACGTTTAAGATAGAAGTGTGCGCCTGAAATCACTTAAATCTATCCAAAGCTCTAAAATGTTTGCATAGAATTTTGGCACTGTGGCATTGTGAGGATAACTAAAAGCAACCTCACCTTGAAAATATTGTCCTCAAATGTGCTTAAAACTTGAATACGGGCGCTGTCATCTTCAATCTCGCCCTGCGAAGTGGCCACTTTCCTGTTACGTATTTATTAGAAACGAAAATATTCATAGAACTTCCAAGACTTAATTCTTCGATGAGATTGAGAATTAAAGCTTTTTTCGATTTTCCTTTATCCGAACGACAGTTTAAAGAAAAGCGCGCGAACAGCGAGATTCCGATCTCAAGTCACGTGATTTAATGAAAGGAAGATACAAATCGCGTGCAAAATTCTATTTTTAACAGGAGTTCGGAGAAAAAAAGACTTCTCCCCCCTCCTCTCTCTCTCTCTCTCCGATCTTATAGCAGTCCGATAAAAATTGATTATGAGCTACTCAAAAGGGATTCTTGAAGTAAGAAAAGATTTCATGGTTCTGCAGCGTAATTATATTTTGGAAGTATGTTTATCAAGCAAGGTTTCAAGTCTTTCAGACGCAATGACTGCAATCTACTGTTTTTGTGTTACTTTCAGTGCGCTTTTTAAATTTCCCATCTTGAACATTAATTTTTTAATTTTTCATGGTTTAGCAATTGATGGCAAATACACTGAATGGAAGGAGTCTGAGTGCAGTGTGACATGTGGAGGAGGAGTAATGACTAAAACAAGAACATGTACCAATCCTGCTCCACAACACGGTGGAAAGGACTGCAGTGAACTGGGACCAGCTAAAATGACACTTTCATGTAACGAACAACCTTGCCGTAAGTATTTGTAGTATGAAGTTATCTGGATGTTTTGCAGCGATAGTTGTCATCAGTACTCCATTTTGTTGTGAAACTGAAGCAGTTAGAGCACTGAAGAAAATGATAAAACAAAGTGGGATACAGACCGCGTTCTATAATCATTTTCACAGGTAGATTGCGGAAGTGACGATCAGCACAAAATATGCGGTTGTAACTTTCAAATTGAATGCTCGTTGCACCAGTCCTGCCCCAGTTAAGGCATGCAAGTCCTAAATCTTGTCGCTTGTACCCTGAAAACTTCAAAGCTCATTTACAAAACGTAAAATTCATGCTTTAGGGAATGCTGTGAAAATGTAGTGGAATTGGAGCCGTGAAATTAACTGCTCAGTAATCTAGTTCCTTATCGCATTATTGCAAATATTTCTTGGTTGTCTTTCATCACTATAGAAGCCATAGCCCATTATTCTTAGTTACTCAGGAGGCATTGAATGAACCACGTTGTCCATTTCTTTCGAAATATGATGGGATGTTTGTCCGAGAGTACATTCATTAATATTGGTTATTTGCAAGAGGCTCAATTCGGAATTACAAAGAGACACTGAGGAGGTTTGGAACCGATAGCCTAAAGATTTCAATTTAGCAAGCTAAACTCTTGATCAAACGAATTCCTCATCACCTCTCACCTTTATTCAAACTTCAATGAGTGATAATATTTAGTTACGATAGAGAAGTAACATTGAAATATTGGAAAAGACCACCTGATAAGTATCTCAGTTCAAACAAGAAACAAAAATATATCGATATCAAATAATAGGGAAATATCATTGTCTGTGCATTATAAGACTAGAAATAATGACTTGTAACGATGTTTTGATGTTGTTTCATGACTCAAATATCACTGCTGGCACTATTTTACATCTTTCTTCAAGTTATTTCCCTTTTTCATCTCCACAGCTCCTCCGTGCACAGCTGGACTTGACGTTGCTATCGTTCTCGACAAATCCCAGAGTGTTAAATTAGGTAATCTGGAAATGGTTATCACCTTCCTGGGTAAACTGGTTGGGAACTTCGACCCTGCTCCTGAAGCAGATCACTTCGGCCTTATTACCTTTAACAAAAAGGCACAACTGTCTTTCAAATTTGGCGACTCACAATATCACAATAAAGACGCCTTACTAAAAAAAATAGCCAATGAACCAATGGTCCTACAGTATCAAACTCGCACCGATATGGCTCTCCTTATGGCGAGGGACGAGATGTTTACTGAGGCAGGAGGAGACAGACCAGACAAACCAAATGTCATGATTGTACTCACAGATGGAAAGCCAACTAATCCAGACAAAGACTTTGACTTCAAGGCATTTTCTAAAGAGATATCGAAAGATTTCAAGGCGAGTATAAAATAGTTATGTCGAGGCTTGATTGATGAGAACATAGGGGTAAGACAAATAAAAATGTGAACCTAATGAGTTGAATTTTTCAATTCTTGTGAACTGAAAGCTAGGACATTAACTTCAAAGTATTTGCTGAAGAAATAAATAAAAATTTCAAGGTGGGTGTGAAGTAGTTAAAAAAAAAAAGTTTGATCAATGACAGCTGATGTTTCAACGAGTCATTTCACTAAGAACTAGAGCCCTAGTTGGGTCCCTTGTGTTATGTTCGTTGTCATTTGTTGAGATGAATTAGCATTGCATCCTGCTCACCTTATGATGCAGAATAAGTTCTAGCAGTAATGGACCCTTAAAACTAACTTAATCCTTCTCCAATCAAAAGTGACTCATGTGTCAGAGATTCTCTTCTTACAGGAAAAGAAAGTCAACATTGTAGCAGTGGGTATCGGTCCAGGAGTGGAGGAAGCCACTTTGCACGATATCGCTGGCGCAGGTCCTGTGGTTCAGGTGGAGGCGTTCGATAAGCTTGATGAAATGATGAAAACAATCAAGGGATCGGCTTGTTCGGGTAAGTTATAATTGCAAAAACCTCAATCGCTCTTACTTTTGAATCTACCTGGCCTTCTCAGAGAGAAAAATGGATCCCGTTTAAGTACTTTATGGTTATATTTACCATTATTGCTGTTAGTATTACTGCTATAAAAATTATTGTAATTGCTACTTTGTTAGCTTTATAAACTCTGATCTGCTTCCATTGATGCTTACCGAAAAAATTTTCTCACATGCGAGCGTCACAAAAAAACAACATTTCGTGCCATTTTCTAGGATAAAGAGGCTGGTTTTTAAAGTTGAATATTATTTTAGCAATGTAGTTCGTAGGTAGGTTTGTAGGAATTTAATGTAGTGTTTTTTAAAGTTTAAAAAATATATCAATATTTATAATTATTATCATAAAGTGATGCTCACCGAGAAACTTTTCTCACATACGAGTGTCACAAAATCAAGCTTTTGTGTTTATTTTGTAGAATAAAGAAGCTGGCTTTTCAAGACATGTCGTATCTTTGGACCAAAACAAATGGGGTAGACTATGAATGAAGCAACAACAATGTACGGAATTATTGTGTATGCATATCATACTGAAAATAAACTACCTTAAAGCGGGAACCTTTGTCTTTGCCCATTTCTTAAAGAAAGCCACTGGTGGAGAGAAATCGTCGTTTTATCATCCAAATTGATTTTTAGAAGTAAAAATTTGTCGGCATAAATGGAAATGAAGTAATTTGTATGGAAAAAAATGGAAACAGATATCAGTTATTTTGGATGTGGACTTTTTGAGCGTTGCCATGTTGAGTCTCCAAGTCTCCAAGGTTGCTGCAATCTCCGTATTATCCCCTGTGGACCACTGTGGACAAAATACTATTGTTCAATGATAGTAGCGGAAACTGAATGACGTCATGCAATCCAAAATGGCGCCTGCCGAGAAAGTCAGACATCGATATTGCTTTTATTTGTTTCCAGTTTCAAATATTTGGTTCCTGTATCCCATGTTTTCGCCCAAATTTTTGAAATGACATTTTCATCTATTTAATGCCAACTCATTCTACCAGTGGAGGTTTCCTTTTTGATCCTGTCTCTTACAATTTAAACTCAATGCTTCATCTTCTTGTCCACTTTCTCATCCACCTCCGCGCGCGTTATAAGGAATTCTTCTCGAGCTTGCGGTTGACATAGTTTTAACCATGACTATTTTTGCTTTGCAAGTTAACTAGAAATTGTATTGTTTTCGAATAAAAACTAACTGGTATGATCTCCCGCCCAAAGCGTGGGTAGGTTATTCTCTGCTTGCTGGCTTCACATTTATTAGCCCAAGTGAAGACCGTGTAATGCTGAAGCATGCGCCAGTGGTACGCTGTACCAAGCCCTGGCATTCGAGTATGCGTAATGGCTAGATTTGTGCCGCCCACAATACAGTTTTTTGTGCATGCTTTAATAGAGCAACTTGTACGCACAGACGGAGAGGCGTGCGATAGCGCAGCGCCGCGTGATCTTTTCCTCAAAACGCACCAATCACAACTTTTAAATCCTAGCCATTCACAGCTAAGCACGATGCTTCATAAGGTGACAACTATCCAGTTGATCTTCAAGGCATCGCTTGATAAAGACTAGCTGAAAGCTACAACAAGTTTGTCAATCGTCGTGATACGCTCTCAGTTTCAATAGCGCTCTTTTTTTACAGCGACACGACGAGATAGCATAATGTAGGTGATTAGGACTTTACAGGATTTCCTTGAAACTTTGCAGATGAGTTAACCTTGATCAGGTTCTCTTCTAGATACTTTATTTTGATAATTTTGTTTTATCAACTGAGTTGATAATAAGAATTGACCGCTGTAAAGAGTTACTAAAGCTGGCGTTTTGAGCAGAGCTGATGGAAGAATTGTGTATGGGTTTTGTTTGGTTTATATACAAAAAAATGGAGTCGCGCTATTGATGGGAACACGACAACGTGAAAAAGAGAGCCGATTTAAAGGACACTTGAAGGGCCGCACACTGCCATATGTTGCTAAGAACGATTTGGGAAATTAAAGTGTTTAGCGATTGGTTTGAATTCCTTTCTACGCCACGAATGTGTTCTCGGAATCGGTCGCCTCGTCGTCTTCCTTTTTCGCCGATGTATAAATGTTTGCAACACGTTGTACAAGTTATGCAGTGGATGACGTTGGCTGTATTATGCCATTCTGAAACAATTGACTTTTGTTATCGCAACATTAAAAGAATCATGTTACGAATTTTAGCAAATAAAAAGTGCTTAGTTTTCCGTTACATATACCCAATTTAGTGTGTTTTTCAGTGGATCTGGTAGTCTAAAGTTGCTGACGAATTCATTACCTATATTTGTCGGAGCTAGGTTATGAGCTGGGAGCATGGTTACAAGCTTAAAACATGGCTTCGTTCAGCTAGTTAGAAGGCATGAAATTAAAAAACCGTACTCCAGTTTTTACCAAAAGGATTTATAAATAAAGTTCTCTTAAGTAAAATAATAAACATCATAAACAAAGTACTTTTACTGGAATGGCTTTTATTTATCCATCAGTGAGTATCATCAATATCATCTGCAGATAAAGAATGTCTTGAAAGTAAAACTACAATAGCCCTGCACCATTATACCCCTCTTGATGGGCGTCATGTTCTGCGTATCAAACGTCTTCAGCCTGAAAAGTAAGTGAAAACAGCTCTGTTTAACTCACTTAAGGTAAGTTAGAACCGAAAGAAGCCACACAAGCAATTGTGTTTTATGCAGTAATTCCGGCTGAAAACAATGATATATGAATTCTATTCCAGACCTAATCGTTTACTTCTACTCAACGTACTCAGTCAGGCATAAGAATATGCTAAATTCTATGTATTGCATCACGTCAAAATACTCACGACATACAAATGTTATGAAAAATAGCCTGTGCTAGGCGTTAAGTGATTCAAACGGAGCGAAATGATAAACGGTACGATAGAAGCGGCAGGGTCAAAAAAGGGAGGGAGGTCTGGGCCGGTTCAGGTGACCCGGAACGGTTCGGGTAACCCGGAAATGAGAGAAAAAATTTACTTTATCCAGTACTAAGCCCGCGAGAGAAGCGGCAGAGTTAAAAAGGGAGGGATTTCTGGGTCGGTTCGGGTAACCCCTGAAATGAAAGAAAAAATTTAGTTTATCCAGTACTAAGCCCGCGATAGAAGCAGCGAATTGAACAAGGGAAAATGGTTTGAGTCGGGTCACGCGAACCGACACAAACCTCTCCCGGAAATGGAAGAATGATATATATTTTATCCAGTATTGAGCCAGTCGTTTATAAACCTATTTAACGTATTTAAGCCACAACGTATAGGATTTACTCTTTTAATTATGATTTTTGAAAAAAATGAAAAACACAAATATCTACTACATCATGCCAAACAGTTTGAAAAGCGTGCGAAGGAAAATTTTGATCATAATAACCTCTCAAAGATTTATTTGCTGTATAATATCGAAACCACTACACTAGCTCAGAAAGGTAGTTTTTACTGAACTTTCAAATAAAAACTAAGGTTCCCAGTGAATAGACGCATATAGCATACTTTAACCACGATTGTGTCAATTCATGATAAGAAAGCTTAGTTACAAAAGTCAAGTAAACGGCCAATGCTCCACTCCCTGAGTCCAAAAGGCTTTGGAGGACTAATTACAAATTGGTTCAATCTTGCAGCGTAGTCCGTGTTTCACTTGATCCTTTTTCTGGACAAAGGAATAGACGCAACAAAGTACACCCGCCTGGACAATGCCCGTGACAAAGGACTCGTTATTTCTTGAAGTCTGGAGTTGATCTAATTTTAGCATAGACTGAGTTTAATGCTTAGTGTTTCTTTAGGATATAAACGACAGAAAGAACACTATAGTCCTACAAACTCAACTACGTTATTATATAACGTGTAATATTCTTAATAAGGAGCAACTCCTGGGGGCAGTTCAGTAATTATCCTTAACAAACTTTTGTTGTCTCCAATTTTCCTCGAAATGAACAATCTTCCGCAGCAGCTCTCTCGGTACAGCTTTCCGAACAGTCGGTCACTCCCGACAACAACAAGTACGACTACTTCACGACTGAGTCCTTATTTACATTAAAAAAGAATTCCAGAACATTGCGGAGGCTTGCAACATAACTATTTTGGCAGTCTTATAACATAACTACGTGACGTTTCATGGCAAACATGTCAGCACGACTAGGTATTACAGAAACTTCTAGAGACTCTTTTTTACAGTCACTGTCCAGTCACTATCCATAGCATTAGGAGGATTTTACACAAAGGATTTTTAAATTTAAATGTTCTTGTGTTTTAACTTTGAGTACAGATTTAAGCATTTCACTCTCACAATATTAGTGTTAATCATTGCTATTAAACCTTTTCTACTCTCCATCTATCAAGTCTTAAGAGAAAGTTTCACCACTAACAGGAGAATTAAAACTAAAATAATATGGTATTGATCGCAAATTGGGCGATAAACTGAACCGAACTGTCAAGATATAAAAGCGAGTAGAGAATTTCTTATTACATTCTACAAAGACATTCATTTTCCGACCTCGTTACATACTGGTAGGGTGGCGCCAATCGATGCGATCCAGAATGAAAGCACTTAATGAGTATTCAAAGAGATAACTGTACAGGATGAAATTGGCCATGAACTGGAATGTAATTTTCAATAAACGTTCAAAATCATTCAAAAAACCTTAAAATCAACGGGTCAAAATAACACACGTGAAAATAAAGTATGGTTTTGCATTTTTTTCCCCCACTTAGTTTAGAAAGGTTATAGACAGCTTATTTAACGTACTTAGTTGTTTTCAGGCCAGTTGCAGTTGCGACGAGTTTGCCTTGTTTGCCTAAGAGCGAGGAATTGTCAACATTTATTTATCCATCACAATCTTGCATTCGTTGCAGGAGTCAAAACACCAATTTCTGTCATTTTTACCCATAAATAGATGAATGTCTTGACCAGATAATGGACATCGCCGTTGTTGGTGACATATCGAAGAGCATGGAGAAAAGCCACCGTAATAAGTTGGTCGATCTGGTTAAGTCGTTGGTGGACCAGAAGGGCGTCTCTGTCGAAGGAAATCATTTTGCAATTGCCACTTTTGGATCGTACGCCTCAATTAAGACATACTTTAAAGAAAGCAGATACTACAATGCCAAAAGCTTAAAGCAAAAAGTTAACAAGGAATTCAAAGTTGTTCCCGGTAAAAAAGGTACGCGCACTGATCTTGTCCTGAGAGTAGCCCTTAACAGACTGTTCACCCCAGAAGGAGGGGATAGGCCTGATGCTCAGAACCTCATGCTCATCTTCACTGACGGAAAGCCATGGATTGGCAAATGGGATGACAGAAAGATGGTTCCTTTTTGGGAAACCACGAAAGCTTTGGAGGTAACACAGCTAAACCTTTTTTCAACTTTGGTACGGTAAATCTGTAAGACACCGACTTTGGATTTAGAGACAGAGACAGCTTCGATTATTTGGTTAAATTTTCACCTAGCTAAATTACCCTTTTTCTCCCTTGGATTGAATCGTGCAAAGGCAGTACACAGGTGAAGCCTTCAAACGAACAATTTCAGTGAGATGTTTCATTTAGATAAGTGTTAATGCTCCGATAATAAATGGTATCCCCGGATGGCCGAGGATTGTTACCCACTACCTTGCCAATTTCAGCATGAAAAATAATTTAGATAAATTTTCCACGGGCGCATGTTGAATAAGAGATGAGGCCCGTAGGTTCGAGTTGGCTGAAATTATCTCACATTCAATGAGCGCGAGTGGAATCATTGTCTCATTTAAAACGCCCCAAAACATAAATAAATCATCCCAACTTGTTTTTTTAAGGACTACCGAAATGTGATAAGGTACAAAAACACTTCCGATTAAACTCGTCTTCATATGCGTGCATGGCAAAATGGCTCATGACCCATGACGGCTAAGCCAATGAAAACTCTTGAATTGCATAATCCAATGATCCGAGCTTCGATGGCCCTGTATGTTGCCCACTCCCTTGTTATATTCACTCTTCTCGAGGTGATTTTAAAATTGCCAAAACGTACCTTCTAAGTAGCCTTTGGGCGTTTTTTTTTTCAGGCCGTTATACTTCAAGACGGAACAAATAAATGAAATGAGCAAAAATCAAAATGAGCAACAGTTCACTCAGAAGTTTATCTGTTTAATAACAACATTGTCACAGCGTGTTCTGATTCACTTAATGAGCGTGATAGGGAATACTCTGTCCCTCACAATGAATAACAAATGCATTACACAGCCCGCTTTATCGAGCTTTATTTACGGATAAGCTGAGCGTTTTACCGGGTGGCTGTCAACGACTCTAACGTTTATAAAATAGTTTTAGGGCACGTCTAACAAATTCATAACGATATTACCCACTTTGAGGTAAGTTACTGAGCGCGATTCCCCATGAATGATCACAACTTTCTCCACAAACGATAAAAAAATAATTTCCAATTTACCAGTAGGGGAAATAACTCCCGTGCGATGGCTCGTGCTATCGAATGACAACCTTCTTTGGGCAGCTGAAAACAAAAATGGGTTTCAATCATTTTCGTTCCTTTTTGTTGGCACTGAAAATACCACGAAAAGCAGAATCTCTATGACTATTGATTACGAATTTTCCAGTCTGACCATGTGAAATTCAAAGAAGGAAGGTTACGTGGCAAAAATACTTTGAGAGCAGAGGAGCCGTTAAAATGTGCCAACTCCAACCCTTAAGACGAAGGAGCTCTTCAAATTTTCGTTTTCCTGGGGATGCCTGCCTGGTTGTGAAAGAACAAAAAACCCTTGCGTTTCCAATGAAAACTAATTCAAGCACACTGAGATTAAAAACCATCAGGTTCAATTACTTTAAAATAGATTTTATGATTTATTGATTTCAATTGATGAATTAAAATGGATTTTTAACCTCTTCCTATTCAGAAAAAAAAACGTTAAAATAGTTGTAATCGGAGTTGACAAAGAGCTGTACAAAAGTAAGGAGGATATTAAAAAGGTAGCCGGCAAGAAGGGAACAGTTCTGGTTTACGGAAATTTCGACGCACTAATCAATAGTGTCGACGATCTTCTATAAGCTACATGCGGTAAGCTCCTTTTTCTTCCTCCTTATGTGCTAGTTCAAAAGTATTTTGATATATGATTAGTAAAAATCCACACGTAAGTATTGCAAATTTGTTCCGAGACTACTGGATTTGTTTATTCATCTGATACGGCTAATATATCTCCCTCAAAGCTGTTAATGGAGAATACACTGATTGGTCTGAGTCTGAGTGCAGTGTGACGTGTGGAGGAGGAGTTAAGACACTTACAAGAACCTGTTCCAATTCCCCGCCATCTAATGGCGGAAAGGACTGCAGTGAACTTGGACCAGCTGAAACGATAGCACCATGTAACGAACAAAAATGCCGTAAGTATTTTTAAAACCATTTTTTGAGAAAAATTAGTTATTGCAACGCCTGGAGGTGTGATTTTAAGACTAGTATTACCTGCTTTTCTTCATCTTCCGAGAGAATTAGTAATTGGAATTCTAAGACTAGCATAGGTTGACGTTCTAGAAATATCCACTGTAAGTTGAGATTAAAAAAAGTTATTAAGAGCGTGGAGATTTTCTACGCTTTTTATCAAGAGGAATGCTTATATGGACCCCGAGAAACAATTTCAAATAAGGATCATTTTTCTCCCTCTAAGCTGTCGACGGTGGATACACTGATTGGTCTGAGTCGAAGTGCAGCGTGACGTGTGGAGGAGGAGTGAAGACACTTACAAGAACCTGCACCAATCCCCCAGCATCTAACGGTGGAAAGGACTACGGTGAGCTTGGACCAGCCGAAAAGACAGCTCCGTGTAACGAACAAAAGTGCCTAAAGTCTTTCTAAAACCATTTTCTGCTGTTCCTATCCTTTTGAGAGAATGAGTCAACACAAAGCCCGAAACAGTAATTTTATGACTAGCATAAGTTGAACTTGAAGAAATATCCATTGTATATGGAGATAAAATCAAATTATTGAGAATGTGGAGATTTCTCAGCTCTTGTCTGACGTTCTAGAAATATCCGCTGTAAGTTGAGATTTAAAAAAGTTATTAAGAGCGTGGAGATTTTCTACGCTTTTTATCAAGAGGAATGCCTAAGGACCAGCGAGAAACAAATTCAAATAAGGATCATTTACTCTTTCAAAGTTGTTGACGGAGGATACACTGAGTGGTCTGAGTCGAAGTACAGCGTGACGTGTGGAGGAGGAGTGAAAACACTAACAAGAACCTGCACCAATCCCCCTCCCTCTAGCGATGGAAGGACTGCAGTGAACTTGGACCAGCTGAAAAGACATCTCCATGTAACGAACAAAAATGCCGTAAGTATCTTTGTAACTGCTTTTTGTCGGTCGTCACCAGTTATTCTAGAGATTAAGAATACCATCGGAAACAGCTAATGTTTTGTCTAGCCTTCCCTTACGACGTATATTGCACTCCTCTATGGAATTACCTAAATTGTAGATTCGTCTGCGAAGCTCCTACGCCACTTTTTTTTTCCTCAATCAATAGTGTGGAAGCCTTTTAAAAGCTGCATGCAGTAAGTTCCATTGGTCTCCATCATCTACGAGGTGTCTAAAGTTTTGATCGATGTTTAATAAAAAATCCACACGAAGGCAATAATTCCGATAATGTTAAATTTGTTTATTCATTCGATTCGGATCATTTTTCTTCATTAAAGCTGTGGACGGGGGATACACCGATTGGTCTGAGTCGAAGTGCAGTGTGAAGTGTGGAGGAGGAGTGAAGACCTGCACCAATTCCCCGGCATCTAACGGTGGAAAGGACTGCACTTTGCTTGGGCCAGCAGAAAGATAGTTCCGTGTAACGAACAAAAATTATGTAAGTTTTTTTTAGTAACAATTTTCTGTTCTTCCTTATTTTAGAAGATCTAGTCATCATGCAGGCTGAAGGTAGGATTCGTGTGTTACAGAGTTCTGAAAAGTGACCATTCTCGTTTAGTAAAGGTTGATCTTTCTTTTCCACTATACAGCTGTTGACGGGGGGTACACAGATTGGTCTGAGTCAAAGTGCAGTGTGACGTGTGGAGGAGGAGTGAAGACACTTACGAGAACTTGCACCAATACTCCCCCATCTAACGGTGGAAAGGACTGCAGTGAACTGGGACCAGCTGAAAAGACAGTTCCATGTAGCGAAAAAAAGAGCCGCTTACAATTAAGCTGCAAGAGTTCCATGTGGGTACTGGTTAGGATAACCATGGGATTACTAGAAACGATGCATCAGTTTTAAAATGAAAATCTGGGGTAAAAACATTTCTTGAAAATGAGTTTGAGACACTATTAGCATAAAATCATCAGCTCACACAATGAGGAAACATTTTTAAAATACACTTTGTTTAATGAAAGTCGATATAAAACTGACTCATAAATACTTCTATTATTACAACCCTGACTAAACTTTGTAAAGAACAATTAAGCTTGATTGCTTTTACCAAGTGGTGAATATTAACGAAGAATAAAACAAACCAGGATTTACCTGAAAGTACTGCACCATAGAAAAACAGGTATATTTGCAATAAATTCTTGCTCGTCTTCAGTAGCATTCCCCTCCTCTCCAGCTCTGCTTTCATTATAGTTTTCTGCATAAAATAAAATACAAAAATCAAGATAAACATCTTTACCTAATTTGTTACAGGTCTACAGTTAAAATCAATGTAGCTTAATACATACATGTAGCTTTATACAAGCAGCAGATAGAGTTCAAACTCCATACTGATAACAATAAGCATGGGATGACTATGAAGACACAAACTAACTGTTAAGGTTATGTTGTCAAAGCAACTTCAAATTATCTAAAATTTACCTGTATTGTAGAAAGTAGAGATTATCACATGGTTTACAGATGTCAGTTTGCTATCTGTGGCAGCATCAGCACCTTCTGAGCCTCAGCTTTCCATAAATTATTCTGCATAAAAATATAAAAATCGAAGACATGTTAGTTAGTAGCAACGAGGTTTCTATTTAAATGTTTCATTGTATGATCAAATTTCTAAACCCTTGTTTTTTGATGGCATACTAAGTGTGTTTAAATCACACCATTATAAATAGATTGACAAATACATATAGCCATCTGCACTAGAAGAACAGTTACTCATATTTGACTGTTATTTTGGTCAAATTTCCTGTGTACAGTAAAATTTGATACTCATTTTAGTAAAATTAAATCAATAATTCTGGTGTTGTTATTGGTTTGAACATTGTGTGTCCCAATGCCATTTATGAATTTGCACACAATGCCAAAAAATAAAGATGGCATAAAATTATTTTTGTCAAATCTGGCATGGAAAAGTACATCTTCATTAACGCCTTTCACCCCTATGAGTGACTATATATAGCATCTAATTTTTCCTTGCAACATCATCCCTGGATCAAACTTTAATGTAAGAAGAATAAAGGAGATGAATTCACCAACTAATGAAGCTCTTGATTGTTTAAAAAATTCTCCTTGTCAGCATCTCAGAAAATGTTTAGAGAACAGTAGGGAGAATATGTATCGTGATGTTTGGGTGTAAAGGCTTAAATTATGATTGCAAGCTGTCATTCACAGACTGAGACATATTCAGATATGTAAAAATCACACTGATGAATCACCAGATTCATAAAATTCACATTGACATAACCTTATCAATTTAAGTCTACTCCGGCCTGAATCATGTTCCCATAGCTCACTCTGGAGAGAGAACTCACTGCCACACTCATATTCAGGCATATCACTTTCATCTTTGTGCGATAAATGTAAACATAAAATTACATTATTTCCAAGAAATTTAGGGAGCCACAGTCTAGTGTAAACACTAAAATAATAAAAAATATTCTTCACTCATTGGCTGGAAGCTGATCTTAATGGGGGCCTGCATAGACAATGTAACCAACCTTATAAGTGAATGTATCGAAACATAGAAAGAAAATCAAAATCACAGCACAAATTACAAACACAATACACGCAATATAAGACTGCTATATTATGACATAGCCACTTGTTATTTGCATGTTGATGTAATATGGATGGATGCAGTGTACAATTTTACCCAGAGAACATTCTCTTCCTCCCTCCTCGAGAGAGTTTTCTGTATCCAAAATTCTAAGCTCAGCATATTCAAGAGCATAAGTGGCTTCGGCGGATACAAAATAATAAGCACAGCATTATATTGAGGCAATATCTTAGTGTCGACTTTAGTGCATAGTTTTGTAAAGCCGTGAGAAAATTTTGCCGAGTGCTTTATCTGTGGTACTGCTATTATAAACATTTGTGAAATTCCGAAGGCGTAAAATACAAATACAAATAAATTTATTGAAAATCTGAAGGTGTAATAAACTGAATTGAACGGTATAAATTCAAGTAGACTTCTGAAAGTGCTTCGCGTATTCTGCAATGACTCAATACAATCAAACTGTTCTCCAAGTGAAAACTGTGAGCGAAAACTATCTGCTCTCCAACAAAGTGGTTACCTGCACGATTATTAGAAGAATGTAAGAAATCTGCTTCAGTATGCGATGTATCACGAAGAATCGCGATGCGACAGCGGTCGCTTGTTTTATTAGGCAAAGCACCGAGCGAATGGTTAAGTTCGCGAAGAAACATAACGATAAAAGCCATGGCCAAAGAATGCAGTCCGCTTTTTCCACAGTCAACATTAAACTCCGTGGGATCAACATTTTGTTTTCCTTCGTGTTTGCGTTGTTGTTTAACAAGTGATTGACGGGTTGTGACATGACATTTGACGAAATAAAATTATCACGTTTACAGCTAACCTAGAAACATTAACAAGGCCGACTTATAGTCCGGCTCCATATTACTTTTCGGAAAGACCATTGCTTACGGTAAAGTAACATAATTCAGGTAACCGTTTGTGACAAACTGTGTTCTGTTTAAAAAGTGATTGAAAACTTTAACTTCTCAGTAAAAGCGGTAAAATAGACCCACAGCCCACGAAACATTTCAAGGCAATTTTAATTAAACACAAGGTGAATTTATGCTAATCTTTGAGAATGGGAATTTTTTTTTATATAATGGTAATTGAACTGAGTGGAGTGCAATTTGGGCTGAAATCATACGCGTGATTACAAAATCGATCGAGCGCCCAGCACGAGTTCAATCTGAAATTACAAGTATGATTTCCGACCAAAATTGCACGAAACGAAGTTCAATTACTACTTATTACATCCATTTGATACAGGACTTGGTCACTTCAAATATTTTATTGATGCAGTACTGAGCAGGTTTGAAGTTAAATTCATCCATTTTTGGGGGGGAAAAAGTAAGAGTTTTGGAAACAAAAGTAGCAAAATTTGCCATAGGATACTCTTTGTCTATCATTTTCCTGCAATTTGATTGGTTACTTTAAACAAGCCTTGAAATCTGATTGGTTGTTATGTTTTTAGTGTGGCCAGCTCATTAGCGGGGGAAAAGATGTGATTTAAAGCAAAAAATGGTGCGATTCGTGAATAAATCGCACCAATTAGAGCCAATCAGATTACAGGGACCACCAGGGATTTCAAAATGGGTGTAATAAAATAGGAAAGCATTTAGTCACATGACAAATCTGTACATACAGTTTGTTTATCTTCTGTTTATCGCACGCGATACGTGCCCCCATCTTGTCTCAAATGAACATTCAAAGGAATGATTTAAATAAAAGTCTTACCACACGAAACGATGAGTGGATTGAACACCAGTTACATTAAAATTTTCGTTTGTTTGCGGTGCTGGCAAAAATAATTTGGAGCGAACAAAATTTCTCTTCGCGCGATCTTTTCAAAAAAGGTCTACATTCGTTATTTAATTCCAATTTATTAATATTTGACCGTAAAACGAGGACCGAATAAAATGCAAAAGTAATTATGCGGCCTGCTGACGGCAGCAAAACTTTTCGGTTACCATTTCACCTAATACACCTTTTAAACTGAAATAAACTGAGACCTAAACTTCTTGACAACGAAGGCTAAATAATATTCACAATTCTGCAGTTGGTTAACTCAAGCAAAATTCAAATAACAATTTTCTTACATATTTCTTTTGGGCCACTGTCTCTTCTTCTTTGTAGTTCATTTTCCTTTTGTTTTTGACTTTGTTTTCACCAGTGTTCCCGAGCTCTTTGCCTGTGTCTCTCACGCTGTTCTTCGCCAGATCTTCGCCGCTTTACTCGGGACCTTTCTTGCTCTTTCATGTTCTGTTCTTGACTTCTTTTCCGTCTGTCTTCTCGAGCCCTCTGTCTCTCCCTTTCAAGCTGTTCTTCGCTCGAAGTGTGCCTTTTCACTCTATTTCTTTCCTGCTCTCTTTCAAGTTGCTTTTCGTCATATTTCTACCGATTTTGGCGAACTCTTTCACGCTCTCTTTCTCGTTACTCCTGACTCGCTCTCTGCCTATTAATTCTTGCTCTATCTCTCTCTCTTTCCCGTCTTTCTTCATTTTATGAGCCCTGTCTTCTTTGTTGTTGTTTTGAAGTTGAATTCGAGTCATTATTTTCTGTTGACATAGCTATAAGCTGAGTAACATAGCCCCGCTAGTTCAATCGAAATTGCAAAGTACTCATTAAAATGTACTCAACTACACAGTAAACTGAGTGATTTCCCGCCAATGACGCGGGTTGCATGCAAATCAACCGCGCTTACTTCACACTCACTCGCTCACGTGGAGCCCACGTTTTTTTTACGAGATCTCGCCCTTGCAGAACACAAACACTGTACCGCACTCGAGTATGCGCATTTCTTGTAACACATACATTGACGTGACCGTTCATGTGACGTTAACTTGCGCACGTGTATTCAAATACGATTGCGAGGATGAGCCCGTAAGGCTCTCGCCTGCGCATGCTCAAAGTACTACCGACCAAATTCATTTCGAACTCAGAGTCTCCTCAGCTATTTACAAGTGTTGCGCACGCGTTGTACTGAAACGTCCACTGGACAAGAATAAGGCTATGGCGTTGACGTGCCCGGAATGCAGTTGGCCGCGCATGCTAAAAGTAGCACCTTGTACGGTCGGTCGTGCGGTCTCAAGTCCAAATTTTTCGGCTTGATGTGTTACTACTATTTCGTACAATTATGCTGCGCGCACTTCGCGCGCTGCGAGCTCCGCTATTACTTTGCTGACAAATTCAAACCCCCGACGAACTATCAAGTAAGATTGTACGCTACTTTTAAATGTACATCAACTACTAACGCAAGAAGCCAATATATTTCTACATAACGTGAAGTTGATAAACGCGCTCTCTCCTTTCAATACAAAAA